GTGCTTGGAATTCAGTGGGCAGCAGGTGACTGATTCTGTGTACCACTTTTGCGAATGCTGCACCACAGCTCGAACCGTTCGACCCATTCCTCGCTCTCGGATGGACTTGCTTGGAGGTACAGTTGCTCAATCGTTGGGAGCTCCATCACGCAACGCTAATTTGTGAAAATAGTAGTAGTAGTAGTAATACGCACGGAATTCAGAACACCAACGAAGCAATATGAATTACAAGACTCGAATCGATAAGCAGCTATCACGGACTGGATCGCAGAAACGAGAATGAGACGCGAGGAAATGGCCAGAGGACAGGCAGTAAGTAGTTCGTTTATTGGAGGAAATGAAGGTGATTAAGTAATATGTACAAAGAGAGATTATTGGTTACCTGGGCATCCACTAAATGGATTGCAGCGCCGCTTGCATAATCTTGCTTCTGTCTGCATTGTCATTGACTGGCACCATCCGCCAATGACTTGTATTCAGAAGCTATACACGTGCTATTGACGTCAGCATTCAAAATTGATTGATCGCCAATGTCCTGAAACTGTACCGCGCCGCTCCAGGGTAGGCGCCATCGTGTAGGCCTGGATCACCACATTCAACCTCTGTGATATCGACGTGGTCCGAGAGCTCAACTCCTCAGATAGATATAAAGCAGCAGGACCGGATGGATTGCATCCTGCCGTGATTCAGCCTCTAGCAAATGTATTAGCGGGACCGGTCACTCAGTTATTTAAGGGGTCTTCCGGTGCTTGCAGGCTTCCAGAGGACTGGAAAACTGCAACCGTAGTGGTCATCCACAAGTCAGGCCCTAGAGACAATGCTTGCAACTACAGGCCGGTAAGTTTGACCTCGGTCTTCTGCAAGTGTCTCGAGCGGATAGTTAAGAAAAAACCATGTTCTTATCTGATGGCTCATGGGCTTTTGACTGAAGCCCAGCATGGATTCGTTGAGAAAAAGTCGTGCCTAACTAACCTGCTAGCATTTCTAGACGAAGTTACAAAAGGAATAGACGCAGGTCGCCAAGTAGAGGTTTGCTACCTAGATTTCAGCAAAGCTTTCGACTCAGCCAGTCATCAGCTTCTGGATCTAAAAGTGCAAGCAGTGGGGATCCTAGGTAAAGCAAGAGAATGGATTAGACAATTTCTCAGCTGTCGCACATTCAGTGAGAGTTGGAAGTTATACAACCCAACCTGAGGGAGTATCGAGTGATGGCCCACAGAGATCGGTGTTGAGTCTGTTATTATTTTTGATCTTCATTAATGACCTTGCGAAGGATCTCCAAAATCCTTGACTCATGTTCGCCGATTATATGAAGTTAGCTGGGGGAGGACTAGAACAGAATCTAGATGCAGTTCGAAGGTGGTCGGATAAATGTGATCTGCCACTGAATCTAGGTAAGTGTCAGCTCTTGACCACAAGAGCCAATGATGACACGAGAGGTGTGTTGCATCTGCAGCATTCTCTGAGGCAAAGGATCTAGGGGTAATAATCACGAAAGATTTCAGACCATCACTACAGTGCAAGCGTGCGCCTAATATAGCTTGACACGAACTTGTCAGGTTGTGTGCTTTAGTAAGTTGTAGAAAACCCGAGGTTTTTGTATCATTGTACAAAACCATAGTGCGTCCACATTTAGAATATTGTGTACAGGTATGGGCGCCTTATTTTGAACAGGACGAACGCTGTCTTGAGAAAGTACAGCGCTTAGCAGCTAGAATGGTAGCAGGCCACAAAGATAAGGGATACCTCCAACGACCTGGACCTGTTCTCTCTGGCCCGCGGACGCATGCGAGGCGACCTTATAGAGCCATTTAAGATTGTCAAAGGTCTTTCGGGTCTAAAGTTCCAAAACTTATTCTCTTTTGTTCTTGGCAGGGGCACGAGAGGCCATCAATTTCGATTGGAAAGAAGTCATTGTAGACCAAATTTGCGAACTAGGTTCTTTACAAACAGAGTTGTACCACTGTGGAATAAACTACCTGAAGCAGTGGTTAACTGTATTAATCTTGCTTCTTTCAAGAGAAGGCTAGATGAATGCTGGGCAGTGGTATTTTCCGAAGTTCAATGTTGAAAGTTAATCGTTAGGCTTTACTTTCCGAAATACTATAAGGGATTTGATACTACACACTAACATTCTGCCTTTCAGAAAGTACTATTGACCAGAAGTGTTGGAAGCCAACGAAACCGCCGACAACACAAGGAACTGGACGCGCGATTGGCAACAGCCACAATTCGTTCTGTGAGAACTGAATTGAACTGAGAACTGAACTGGTTAAAGATAGAGTGAAGACTCGGCTTAGAGAGTCCTCGTTCGCAACGACAGTTGTGAATGATTGGAATAGACTGCCGGATGAAGTCATCGCTGCCAAATCGATAGCAGACTTCAAACCGGACATGGTATGGACCAGGGTGTTCGAGGAGGGCGGGGACCGAGTGGAACAGTTTGGATACATCTGACTTGGGTCCTCTATCCATTTAGTATTAAACCTCCACAATCCATATCTTCCTCTCATCTTTATTCACTCTCCTCTCAACCTCTCTAGAAGCTCTATGCTTATCCCTTACTTATCTTCTACTTCTATTAGATATCTCTACCTCTACATCAACCTCTTAGTCCCAATGGAAAGGTCTGGTAGTCCCATGAGTCTGCAAGCTGGAACATCATTCTTTACATTCCCCTCTGACAAGAGCCCAGCGAAGGGGTCTCTCCTGGTCGTTGTGTGCTATTCGTTTAATTGAATAAGAGTTTTTCTCTTCCTGTTGTTGTAGCACCAGGGGATCTACGGAGTCCATCAGTGCAAGAAGCTGGAAAAATTGGCACGCCACCGCTACTTCCTGTGAACCGACCTGACCTGAACTGAACTGAACTGAACTGAACTGAACCGATTTAGAAAACTTTCGAAGCGTTAAGAGACACAAGTGGCCCGNCAAGCCGCAAGTCTTGTGAACTGTCTTGTCATGTCCTGTGTGCTACCTGGACTTCAGGAAAGCTTTCGACTCGGTAAATCACCGACTCCTACTAATGAAGCTCAGGGGTTTGGGTCTCCAAATAGCTCTAATTAGATGGATAGAAGCGTTCCTCACAAACCGGACCTATCGAGTTCAAGTGGGAGAAGCTCTGTCAAACGTCGGCAACGTATCCAGCGGAGTGCCTAAGGGCTCAGTGCTAGGCTCGATGCTCTTCCTGCTGTTTATAAATGACCTGGTCCAGGAACTAGCGGTT